AGTGTTGACATGACTCAGGGTCAGTTTAGAGTGTCACCAACCTTCAGAGTAAGGTTCCTCCCCTGCTTGCAAACTTGGAGGGACCTGACTGAAACAAAACAGAGACAAACAGGAACTCCTGGTTGGTCTTTCCTAAACAAATATTTAGGTGCTATGTCGGGGTGCAGGAATAGGGTGAGTCCTTGATGCCACAACAATGGGTGCCAGGTCCTTCTCTCCTCCTTCTGGGGGACCCCTTGTCCTTCAGGTATAATGGGCCCAAGAGTTGACTATAAAACACAAAAGGGGGGGGGGTCCACTTGGGTGGAACTTAATCTCTGAGGTGTTTGTTTCCCCGGGTCTTTAACAGGACCTGATTTCTGGGGTTGGAGCTGTATAGAGGGGCCTCTGTAGGGAACAACAGACTGGAGTCTTAATGGTTAATAAGGGAAATCACTTTTCTAAGAGACTACCATTGCCCTGATGTTCTAATTTTGCATTAAGGTAATTTTTTACTCTCCTTGTCTAGTTAGGACTGGTCTCCTATATCCTGTCTTTTAGGGGCTTTTACCTTGAGCCTGCTTCTCAGGGCAAGTGTGATTCTGAGCAGGGCAAGAGGGAATACTGGGTCTCAGGTTAAATTCATTTCCTGGCACAACTTTGCTAGAGTTGTTTTTGAAGAATAATCATCCTCCTCTTTTCAGTAGATTGTAGCTTTCAAGAGAAGGGATGACCGATGACCTTTCTAACTTTTGAAACAAACACCCTCCTCTTATCATGATGGAGATAACAGCAGTCTCATCTTGGGAACAGTACCCTTCAAAAGCCCCTTCAACACTTCTATGGCTCTTCAGTTCTACAGGGGTAGGCCCCTACCCATCTTGTGAAGGTGTCCACAAATACTGAAAGGTATCCTGGTCACAGAGGGCTCAATCTGCTTTCTGAGCTAGTCAAGCATGCAACTACTGTTCCTAGACACTTCCTCTAAGTGCTTACAGCAGCGGTTCTCAGCCTGTGAGTCGCGACCCTTTTGGGGGCCCAACGACCTTCCACAGGGGTTGCCTAAGATGATCGAAAACACATATTTCCGATGGTCTTAGGAACCAACACACTGCTCCTATTTCCCTCCAGGCTGGTCTGCCAACATGCAGATACACCCCCTAGGAGTACTCAGCGTGAAGACTGTTACCTATGCTACACCATGCTTCAAGACAAAATTTCATTTATTTGTAATTAGAAATAAATATTTCAAAATGTATAATTACATTATAATTTTTATTAATCACTATGCTTTAATTATGTAAAATTTGTTATAATGAAAATGCACCCCGCATATCAGATATTTATATTACGATTCATAGCAGTAGTAAAATTATAGTTATGAAGCAGCAATAAAAATAGTTTCATAGTTGGGGTCACCACAACATGATGAACTACTGTATTAAAGGATAGCGACACTAGGAAGGTTGAGAACCACTGGCTTAGCATTTTGAAATGACAGGAAGGGAGAGAACACCTGACTGAAAGGCCACCTCTTTTTACAACTAGTGCTTTGTGTGAGGATTTGGGCAGCGTTAGTTTGCAGCACAATTAGCAGACAAAATGCAACTTTCATGTATGACTTTTAACTTGTGACTACAAAGGCGTCAACTGATTATGTAGGTATTGAATTCTATCTCTATTACCAGCTTCCGGACAGCTCTGATCATGAAAGCACAGCTGAGCAAATTAAGGCAAGCACCTGCTGCTAGCAGATTTGCAACATCTCTACCTCCACTTGCACCTTTTTCTGGAACTATTATGCACTAAAAAGAAAACACTTTTCTGTATTAAAAATAAGTTTAAAAGTGTTCTCGGCTGTGCTCTTTATTGGAAGTAGATGGTCAGGCCTTTTCCTTTGAGGTGCCAGTGGTGCATTTCCGTCATCAATAGTATGGATGTGCTGATTGGAATCGACTTGAGGGCACAAGACAATAATGCTGGAGTATGGTGCCTGCTGTCCACCAAGCCTCATACCGCAGAGAATACACTACAGGGAAGGGTATCTGTGTGCTGGGCATTTTGCCAGAGGACAAATGTCCGTGGACTGTACTGTCATGGGGTTAGACATAACCAGAATGCATTGCATGACATCAGTGTTACAGAAAGTCCCCATTTATTGCAAAATTACCATGTGAGTTCATTCTCTGAGCCTGGGCATAGCTATTCTCCTTGTCCAGCTACCTAGAGGTACATGTTACATGCCAGGTGGAAAGCATAGCTCCTGATAAGAATAAACAGGGGCACAATAAACACAAGCAAAATAAATAAGTAAAGTTCTGTGCCTGCAGCCTTCTCTCTGCTGCAGGCCCTGCATTTCTGCTTTTATCAAAACCAGGCTCCTGGTGGTCCCTTAATTAGATCTATGGTCTACTGCCAGTGGCTTCACTGGACACCTTGCAAACACTTCTTCAACCACAGCAATGCTCCTCCCATCATCACACAATTCCTGGCTGTCTGATTCTCCGCCCTTCCTTCCTTTATTTGGGAACTTCTCCAGAATTTCCCTTGGATTTTCTAGAATTTCCCCATTCCTTGTTGGGTACCATCCACTCAGCTATGACCCAGAGTGATTTTCTGCCAGAGAAAACAAAACACAAAACACTTCACGGTCCCTGGATCAATTATTCCTAAGTCTGAACCAATGTTGTAGTCATCTGATCAATATCAGTTCATCACATCGAGGGCCTTCCTCTTCTTGGCTGCCCTGACACGTTACCAAGCATGATGTCCTCCTCCAGGGACCAGTCTCTCCTGACAATGTATCCAAAGGATGCATGACAAAGTCTTGAGGGGCCTGGAAATCTCAGCTGCAAGGGATGGGGATGACACTGCTTCAGAGCAGATTTACAACCTAAGAACCTCAAGGGGTACTTCTACCCTGTCCTATAGGGTTGCTAGGAGTTGATATTGATTCTCTGGAAGTGGCCTTGGCTTGGGTTATCACTTTCACTCTGATGGACATTACTCCCTTATGTGATTGTTAATGCCTGATAGTTCCATTATTTTGCTCTTTTGAACTATCAAGGCATGGGGTTGTTTGTTTATTTGTTTTTTAAACTGAATCTAAATGTTTTAGAAGGTTAAAAAAATAATCATAATGGATTAATGTTTCTCAATTTTGTCTCATATTTGTCTTAATGAACAATAAAATCTCTGAAGAATATCCCTCTAAGTCTCATAATTCAACCTTCATGGCAGAAATTTACCATAACTCTATTTCATGTCATTATAAAAGAAAATGTGTTCTTCCATTGGAATAGATTATAGAACTACTGTGCTATCTTTAGAGCGTAGAACTGCTCCCTTCATATATTGATGGAAATTGCTATTTCAGTATAGTAGGTGATAACGAAAAATTCATTCTACTCAATTTGAAAGACAACCTTTTCTTTTTTTTTTACAAATGCATTTTTTAGAGTTGCATTGAAGGGAGAGAAACATGATATGAGTAAGATACAGTTGCTGCTAAACCCAGACTTGGGGAAACCAACACAAAGTAATTGGACAGGTTGAATGCTTATTTAATTATATGATATGATTCAAAATGAGAATAAATCATCACAAACATCCATTAATAATCAAAACATGTAATATGGGTAACTTGAATTTGTGAAACTTGGAAGACATCAGACATGGAATGGAATGCATAAAGATCAATTTCATAGGTATTAGGTGTTTGAAATGAACTGGTTTTAAGTTATTTAAAGTCAGATAATCATGTAATCTACTTTGTGGGAAAGGCAAAGAGAAGAGAATGGGCATCACTTCTATTGTCAAAAAGAACATTTCACGGCCTATCCTGAAGTACAATGCTGTTAATGAAAGGATAATATCCACTTACAAGAAAGACCAGTTAATTTGACTCTTACTCAACTGTATACACTAACAGTAGTGGCAATGATAAATGGGAGTGTTTTGCCAATTTATGTGTTCTGAAATGGATCAAACATGACACAAAGAAGTATTGATAATTACTGGTGTTTAGAATGAGAAGGGTTGGAAACAGAAAAGAAGGACTTGTAATTAGAAAACATGTCATTGGTGATAGAAACCACACATAAAATCACATGATGGAATTTGCAGTATTATTTTCAATAACATAAATGACTATGCATGCATGTAAACTTCTCCAGATGGCATGCACAGCAATCCAATCTGTAGAAAGAGATGATGAACATCCTGAATATTAGCGGCTAATACCAGATCTGCGGTTGACAGTAGCACAGACCATCACTTGCTCCTATTTTCAGGTTGAAGCTGAAGAAAATTAAAACAAGTTCATGGGAGCAAAATATGTCATTGAATATAACAACACCCCTACCCCTTGAACTCAGGACTATGTCAATCAAAGATTGGGCACATTGAACACTAATGACTAACAACCAGTTGAGTTGTGGGATGACATCAAGCCCATCATAAAGAAAGAAGTAAAAGGAACTTAAAAAGACAGAAGGGCAAGGAAAGACAAAGCAGATGTCAGAAGAAACTCTGTACTTATTCTTGAGGGTAGAGTGCCTAAAACGAATGTAGGAAATGAGGAAGTACAGAGTTCAAGAGAAAATTTCAAAAGAAGACCAAGTAAAGGGTTACAATTTAATATGCAATGATGGAAGTTAGAAACCAAACTGTGAGAACGTGTTTCGTATGCATTAAGCTGAAATGAATGAAGACAAAGTTCCACCTTCAGTGAAGGATTCAATACACAATATTTTTCCAAAGGGAAAAATAATTGAGCATTGCAAAAATATATAAAAAGTGGTTAACACCTAAATGGAGACTAGTTAAGACTCACCCATCCGGTGATCCTGCTGCCAGACCAGAAAATTGGGAGGTAAGATGAATGAAACTGGGCGGTAGAGTCCTGAAAGTAGAATTAGGGTATTGGGTCTCTCCTGAACCCCCCTTTTACGTGATTTCCACTCACAAAGTGAACCAAGAATGCTCTCAATCACTCTAGGTTTGGGGATCTGGACTCGCGGGCTCCAGCTGAAAAGCTCCTTGCGCCCTTTCACCAGGAGTAGCAATATCTCCAGGCTGACGCCCTAGAGGGGGACATAATCCCCTAAAGAGGAGAACCCCATGCCAGAGCCCTTTGAGCTGTTAGCTGTCTTGAGCTCATAGCCTGGGGTGTGGGGGTGGTGGGTAGCCATAATTTGGAGTAGAAGAAAAAGCAATTTTTACCTGAGGCAGG